TTCTCTGAGATAGGTAAACTCTTGTTTCCATTTCCTGGAAATGAAAACTCAGGCAAGAGGCTGTGACTGCCTCACCCACATTACCAACCAGGCTGATGGACGCCCAGCTGACCACGTCGTGGAGACGCAGGTCTCCACCAGTGTGTGGGTGCCTGGGAGTAACAAAGACCTGCACCCCCAGAGTGGGCACTTCCTTCCCCAGCCCTTAGCTACCTGCTTCTCTAATCCGTGTCACCCTCACGCCTAAGAGGATGACGCCTTTACACGTGTGCTGCTGCTGCTGCCGCTGCTAAGTCGCATCAGTCGTGTCCGACTCTGTGCAACCCCATAGACGGCAGCCCACTAGGCTCCGCCATCCCTGGGACTCTCCAGGCAAGAACATGGAGTGGGTTGCCATTTCCTTCTCCAATGCATGAAAGTGAAAAGTGAAAGTGAAGTTGCTCAGTCGTGTCCGACTATGAGTGACCCCATGGACTGCAGCCCACCAGGCTCCTCCGTCCATGGGATTTTCCAGGCAAGAGTACTGGAGTGGGGTGCCATTGCCTTCTCCGTTACACGTATGCAAGAGGCCTCAAAAAGAATGAGCAGACATCCAGATCGCAGCGTCCATCTTTACCCTGCTGAGTCAGGGTCCTCTGTGAGTCGGGAAGAAGGGCCAGCACTCAGGGAGCCTCCATCCAACTCTGTCACGGGTCAGGGACCCAGTCAACATCGATTTCAATGTGGTTCTACAGAAGAAGGCAAGGACAGAGAGATCACTCCTGCTCTGGAGGAGATCATGTTCTGGTTTTTAAAGAAAAATGTAGATTAAAAGTAACTCAACACACAAAATATCCAAGGAAGCATGTACATGAGAGCTAAGCCATGCATGAGCCCTGCTCCGCCCAGAGGTGAGGGCGATGCCCAGAGGTGAGCGTAATGGCAGTTCCACTCGGCCAGAGGAAGCCTGGGGAGAACCTTGTGTTTGTTCGAGAAGGAGGAAGGACTCGCGCCCCAGGGGGGACACAGTGCTCTCATGCACTCTCTCTCTCCCTCTGAAACCACTCTGTTCACCAACCAGAATGGCAAAGATCAAAGATCAAAAGGCACTTAGTCGAATCTATCCTTTTTTTCCTCCATGAAGCCAGCTTTGGGAGCCCGTCACTGTGTCTCTATCCGTAGACATAAACTCAGATTCTCTGAAGAGAACTGTCTGGAAGTCCCCTTGCATCATTAGAAGTTGTCATTAAATTTCCAAGTCCAAGAATCATCAGCAAACAGGATTCTATCCCATTGTCTTCCTCTCCTTTTCTCTGGAAAGGATCTCAACACACCAGCTCGCTCCAAGCCTCGAGAATCATTTTATTTTTTAAAGTCTTTATTGAACTTGTTACAATATTGCTTCTGTTTTATGTTTTGATTGGGGGCTGAAAGGCATGTGGGGTCCTGGCTTCCTGACAAGAGAGCAAACACGCACCCCTGTCACTTGAAGGTGAGGTCTTAACCACTGCGCCACCAGGGAAGGCCCCCAGAACCTTTTCATGGGCAGCTTTTACAAACCAATCATCTATTCAGAAACCTCAGAAACCCTGAGGCCGATGGAGTCAAGGATGGTCAGACCTTGCCATCACACAGGGTCCTGCTGCTTCCCACCCTCAAAAAAATGTGTCTCCTGAAACCGGGCAGACGGCTGGCACCCATCACATCTCCAAACTAAGACAAAATTAGCTTTTAAAAAAAAGTGCTTGTCATTTACAAGAGTTTCTTTGTAATAATGGGATCCGATATGCAAAGAAGTTACAGGGTGTATATTCTGCTCAAAGCATCCAGCCCATTCTCATTCAGTCAGTGGTCAGGCTCCCAGTGAAGTTTGCCCAGGCGTCTCCTTGGGCAGAACCAGTTCCCTCCTCTCTGTGCATCTGTGTGATCTGCTTCTGCGGTCATTTTCAAGTTTTTGGAGCGGTCACTCCACAGATGCCAAGCTCTGTATTATGAGGAGTTAATCCAATTTCTTGAGAATGCCCAAGTGCTTCATCATGTTGGCAGGTCTTTATTCTGAGATGAGCCAGTTCAACCACAAGTGGGCTTATCCCCTAATTGCTGCCACAAAAGTGATGCACTGTCCCGGGACCAAGACGCTCTGTTCTTTTTCTGAGATGAGACCAGCCCAGTCCGCCTCCGGCTCTCGAGGAAATTGCTTGTTAGGTGTCAGCCTGCTCAAGTGTGAAGAGATGTTATGACTCCCAGAATGTTCAGAAGAAGAGTTTCTAGTGTGAGGCTTCTCATAGCGTGGCTTGCTGCTTCTGCCTCTCTGCAGGTTTGTGTTGGAGAGTCAGGGACCCTCTGTACCTGGGTGTTGTTCAGGCACGTCCAACTCTTCATGACCCTTGGACTGCAACACACCAGGCTTCCCTGTCCTTCACCATCTCCCAGAGTTTGCTCAAACTCATGTCCATTGAGTTGATGATGCCATCCAACCATCTCATCCTCTGTCGTCCTCTTCTCCTGCCCTCAATCTTTCCTAGCATCAGGGTCTTTTCCAATGAGTCAACTCTTCCCATCAGGTGGCCAAAGGATTGGAGCTTCAGCTTCAGTATCAGTCCTTCCAATGAATATTCAGGGTTGATTTCCTTTAAGATGGACTGGTTTGATTTCCTTTCAGTCCAAGGGTCTACTGAAATAAAATACTAAATATTTAATATTCCAAAAGTTATATGGAATCTCTAGTAGTCATAATTCTAGTGATTATCCTAAAATGTTATATGTTACAGAAATAACCCAAGTTTCCTGCTAATTGCATTGTACTCAAATCTTTAACCATGTTATTTTAAGCTTTGTCCTTTATAAACTATCATAATTTTACATTGATTTTACAAAATGAAGATTTTCAAGAAGACTCGTTAAAAAAACATCTTTAAACAAACATAAGTTTATGATAATCTTTAGATAATGCCACTGACCTGGGCAACAAATGACAAACCTCTGATGGAAAGCCTGATCACCTCATGTGGATCAACAGAAATCCATTCCATGGGACTGAATGAATTGATAAATATGATTTATAACTTTGACTTTGGAGCCCATACTAACTGGAATCTCTTTTCCAGGAAACCTTTTTCACTTTCGCTGTGACCTACAGATTGATGAAGGGTGCCTTTTTAAGCAAAGATGAAACAATTGTATTCTTCTCTCTGCCTGATCCTGCCAGAATTTAGCTTCTCCGGTTGACTTTCCTACGGACTTTGATGGTTTATTGCTACTGGATTACAACTAGGTATACTAATCATTGTTTTAATTTGTTCTTTGTTTCCAAACTGTTTATGCTTCTGTCTCTCTGCTACACTATGACTTTGTTACTAGATGCATCACTTATATCCTATTTTATTAGACTGTTGTCTCTCACGGTGAGTAACCAGGCCTTCAACAAATGTGACAATGTCCAGGCAACTTGAAACAATTGAACAAAAATACAGTTCTATGTGCCGTTAACAACTGAAATAGTGTGACTCTAGGTTTGGGAAAAAGCAACAAGGGAAATATCTCCTGGATCAGAACAGGGATTGAAAATATAGGAGCCAGAGGATCTTTTATTCTCTATCAGTGGGGCTAATCTGGAAATGAACACCTGGAATGATTTATCAATAGGAACTTTCGCCTGATCTGGGCTGAGCCTCCCGGCACTGTGGGACTCGGTTGGTCATGAAATGTCTCGCAAACACTGGCTGAATTCTGACCAAGTGGTGCGTGTCCTCAGTTACTCAGTCCACGGGGAGGGACTGAGAACTGGAATATTTCCTGCCCTGTCGGTAAATAAGGATTCCACACTCATCAGCAATCCCAGCCCTCCAGCGTGATGTCCTGAGCCTACGGGCACCCAGAAGGGGAAGAATACCTGTGATCTCACAGCGGCCAGATTGCAACCCCTCCCTGCGTGAGCACCCAGGAAACTCGGGATGTGAAAAGCACAGGATACCGGGCACAGATAGCGGAAATGCGAGTGACAGGACTGATTTCATCGAGCCCAGACTCGAATATCCCCATACATAGAAAAGCACTGAATTTCTTCGCTTAATATCTGGTTTCCTTCAGTTAGCAATAATCCTTTGATGTTCAGACTACCTGCCCTTTCTTACCAACTTCTACATAACCTGACTCTTCCCCTCGCCTCCTCAGAGCGGTTCTCTCAGTTACCTGAGATTCTGTCCCCCAGGCTTGGAGTCCTAAAATTTCTCACTGAATAAAACATAACTCTTAGCTTATGACTGTTTTTAAGTTGACAGATCAAAGGGAGTTTATGTAGTGTTCAGTGAAATAAACAATTTAAAGCACCTTGATTTAGAAATATTAATTCATTCACCTTCCTTTATGCATTCTTAATTACTCTCACACATTTATTAAAGCAAATTCCCCAGGATGCACTTTCTTCCATGAACTAAAAACAGAAGTGAAAAACCAAAACAAAACAAAAAAGCAACAACAAAAAAACTTTGCCAAATGTTCTCTAATTCAGGTTTCACGACAATGGAGGTTTTCTTGCCTTACTGGGGCAAACTCGTGGGACTGTCTGGTTTACACCTGCACATAAATCTTAATTAAGCACACTTCAGCTTAGAAGTTAATAAGTTTCCTTGTGCCCTCCCCTTTAAATTAATGAACGTTGATTAATGGTATTCAGTGTTATTAGATAATCCCTTTTGATAAAATGTATGAAATGATGATTTCTTAGGACCCCAAGCCCTCTGTGCAAATGTGATGCAAAAAGTTCTGAGCAGGAAGCGGCCACAATCATAAGCCCATCCCTGACGTTCTATCAGAGTAAATGCATTTTTATCCTTCTGGTTGATTGACTTTGAGAAAATTCGTTGAATTTATTCAATCTTGGCTGTCAGTTGAACCATTTTCTTTTTCCAGTGTGCTGAGGAGCTTATTTAAATGATTCATTTGGTGGCTTATAAGTGATAAGCATCTCATACCTTTTAATAATTTGCATAAATATCTTGGCTCTACTCCAGCAGACACACCTGTTCAACAGGAGCCTGGTAATGTCGGCTCTCAGCCGCATCCACAGCGTTGTCTTCTCCCAGAGGAGGCCCTTCCAGCAGCAACTGCGACAGAGCACACACATGCCCTTCCATATTACAGCAAGAACAAAGAACTACCCTGGGATTCTCTTGTGGGAAAAATGGAGCCCAGACGGAGGGTCACATCCCAGGTCTCAGGCGAATCCTTGGGACTTGCTGCCAAGGGAGTGTCCTTAGCTTCACACAGGAAAGAATTCAAGGGTGAGTGGTAGCAAAGAGAAAGCAGGTTTATTTAGAGAGATACACGCTCCATAGATAGGATGCAATCTATGGTGAGGTCGGCCCCCAAATATGGGGTTAGTTTTTGTGGGCCGGGTAATTTCATATGCTTTCTCTATGATCCAATGAATGTTGGCAATTTGATCTCTGGTTCCTCTGCCTTTTCTAAACCCAGTTTGTACTTCTGGAAGTAGTAGTCACGTATGGACATGAGAGTTGGACCATAAAGAAGGCTAATGCTGAAGAACTGATGCTTTCAAATTGTGGTGCTAGAGAAGACTCTTGAGAGTCCCTTGGACTGCAAGGAGATCCAACCAGTCCATCCTAAAGGAAATCAGTCCTGAATATTCATTGGAAGGACTGTTGCTGAAGCTGAAGCTCCAATACTTTGGCCACATGATGCTAAGAGTCAACTCATTGGAAAAGACCCTGATGCTGGGAAAGATTGAGGGCAGGAGGAGAAGGGGGCAGCAGAGGATGAGATCATTAGTTAGCCTCACCAACTCAATGGACATGAGTTTGAGCAAATTCTGGGAGATAGTGAAGGACAGGGAAGCCCGGTGTGCTGCAGTCCATGAGGTCTCAAAGAGTCAGACATGACTTAGGGACTGAACACAACACAACAGTTTCATACACTAATGAGTGGGAGGATTATTGTGACTAGTTTGAGGAAGGGGCAGAGGTTTCCAGGAACTGGGTCACCAGCCACTTTTTGACCTTCCATGGTCAGCCTCAGAACTGTCACGGTACCCATGGGCGTGCCATTTAGCTAATGCATTTCAGTGAACCTATACTTGGACTCAGGGTCCAAGATCTTCCTCCACCTTGGCCCTAACTGGCTCTATCCAGTCTGCATCACATCCTCAGCAGTCATGCCATTCTTCCTAGGGCTGTGCCCTGTCTCCTTCCTTCCTGCCTCAAACAACATGGTGGGGAAAGCTGGTGACACTCGTGAGGGTGATGGAGAAAATCCTGCAGCATAAAGAAGCCTGAAATAAATGAGCGAGAACCAGACACATGAGCAAATAAGCCCCTGGACTCAAGCGATGAGGTGGGCAGGACAGTAGAGGGAAATACCTTCTCTGGCCACATTCAGATGCAAAAGTCAAACTCTGGTAAATCTTAAAATTTATGTGCTTTCTTGAGTCTTTGAGAGGCTGGTTTGCTTTCTGCATTAATAGTTTGGTTTTACTATCTGACATTATTTCAATGTACACTGGCATTAGTTCATTTCATAAAAGCAAGATGTACTTTAAAGTCGCCCTTCCTTCTGTACGAGTAAACCGTAATCGCTTCCTGCCATCAGAGCACACGCCTTGCCTCCAAGACCTGGGCCAAGGCCGTCCCACCACCATCATCTCCATCAGAAACACATCTGCATTAAATTCGAAAGATTCTCCCAAGAGTACTCACTCTCACAAGACATCATTATTAAATGTGTTGGTTTTAAAGCACAGTGGAAGGACTCCTTTGGTTATAGCTAAAAAATAAAAGGGTATGTTTCTCCAGACGGGGAATGGGATCTGGATCTCACTTGTGAGGATTAAGAAGGTTAAAGTAATCCCTACTCTTGACAGCCTTATCATTTCCTTCCTCACCACCTCTGCTAGTTCTGCTAGGAATTCCACTCGTTCCCCAGGACTTGCTCTGGCCATCGCAGGATGTCCAGCAGACGAAAGATGGGGGTTATATGCCAAAGAAGAAGGAGAAATTGGACAGAATTTGGAGAATGATTTTGAAAGAGTGCTCTAACACTCCTCCAGAAGACATTTCGCACGTTCCGATACCCCCTGACTTCCTGCCTGCTCTGAGACTTGGAGGGATATTTCTCACCACAGATGAACAGCCTAACCAGGCTGGTGCACCGTCCTAAAATGAAATGTGGCCATGCCTTCCCTCACCTGAGAACTGTCAGCTCTTCCCCTACTTGGCGTCACTTCGAGTCCGGGGTCTTTCTGCCTGCCTGGCACACATTCCTCCCTGGTCTGGACCACCCCCTCGCCTGGTGGAGGGTCTCACTGCATGACTTGTAGACCCCTGCACTGGAGAGTCTAAGGTGGGCACCTGAGCCCCACAAGGCTCTGCCAGCTCCAGAGCCTTGCCCACGTGCGCCCTTAGCAGAGGCGCCCAGGAGCCCTGGTCTCTGCACATCCTGCCCGACGCGGGGTCTCGGCGGACTCCTTCTCCTGGACGCAGGGTGTTGACCGTGGCTGGAGGGACTGTGAGCATTTACTGATGTTGCTTCTGCTTTGAGCCATTTACCTCCAGGGGGAGAGAAAAGTGATGGGGGATGAGCAGCCTCAGGGGAGCTGAGGGCGTGCGCAGGACTGCAGGATGGACGGAGTGAAAAGCCGCCCACAGGAGGTGGCAGGGATCCTCCTGCACCATGGCCTCCACCCTCTGGCTATTTCTTCTTAGCTTGCCCAGTTGACTGCAATTTTGTTACATAAGTGAAGAGTTTGGATTTTGGTTGGAAATGCGCTTGGTCACCTTTATTTTTTTTAAACAAAAATGCATGTATCTAAAGTGTATAATGTGGTGTTTTGAGATATATATTTGTGTTAATTATTACAACAATCAAGTTAAAAAAAAACACCCATCACCTCAGATGGCTACCTTGTATGTATGTGTGAGTGTGTGTGTGCGCGCGTGGTGAGAACACTTGAGGTTTATTGTTTTAGCTAACCTTGTGTTCAGCACAGTCTCAGTAACTCTAGTCACCAGACTGTACGTGGTACGATCCTCAGCATCTCTCCACCTGAAAACCAGAAGTCTGTGCGCTCTGACCCGCTTCCCGCCGTTGCCTCCGCCCTCTGACCCCAGGAACCACCGCTGAACCCTGTGCTTCGGTCAGTTCATATTTTTGTGTACGATTTCACCCCGTAAGAGAGACTGTCCAGTGTTGGTCTTTCTTGGTCTGGCTTCCTTCACTTATCACGATGCCTTCAAGTTTCATCCACGTGGTCACAAAAGCAGGATTTCCTTCTTTTTTAAGGCTGAGTATTGGCAGCATTTTATATACAGTTTATGTTATATCTCAAGACCATAGAAGGAGAAGTAGGAAAAGTCCAGAGAAAAGAGAAATAGATCATTTTAAAAAGCTCTAAGAGGCCCTTATCACACCGCCTTCCTCTCCATCTCCCTAGGAAGCCCGCTAACCCAGAGGTGAGTGGGGTTTTTGACAGTAATGCTCATGGATAAGATTCTCCTTGTGTTTCCTCTGTGCCAGATTCCATTCCAAATACTTCACACATATCATGTTAGACTTCACAGCGATTCTAGTTAAAATATGGGATTATTGCCCCCATTTAGGGACTTGGAAAGAGGAAAGACAACGAGTTTCAGGAATCTGTCCTCTAGGGCCCAGACACCTGATAGCTCAGCTTTGCATTTTGGAACCTCTGTGCTTCTCCTGGAACTGTGGGCATCATGAGAGAGGAAGTCAGGGCCGCCTGCCGCTCACCTCCTCTCCCAGGATGGAGCAGCTGAAGACAGTCTCAGGGTCTCACACTGATTATTGCAGCATGTGCACACACAGGTGCACACTCACACACAGACACACACGTGCATCTGCCCACCGGCCGGCCCAGCCCCGGGGATCCACGTGGACAGCACTCCCCGCAGACTCACAAAGCGACTCTTGACGCGCTGCGTCCCGTTTCTTCCCCTGGGTCACTTCGGTCACCAGCATCCAGGCTGACATACCTTCACTCGCTAGAGGGTTGCTTGACTGTCAGGCAGCTGAGATGTTGGGGACGTGGTAGAGAACCCCACACCATTTTGCTCAGACTCAGAGGGAAACAGGGCAAATGAGCCCATGACAGGATGACACCCACATGTCCCCGATGGGCCAGGCGGGAGCTGATGCAGGAGCTGCACAGATGGCGTGCTGGGAGAGCCGTCTCCACGGGGTCGGGGTGGCACAGAACCTTCTTGCAAGACGCCAGTGGCATCATCCGGTGGGGACGCCCGGGCTGGCACTGGGAGTGGGGGCTGAGCCCGTTCTGATCTTGTGCCGGGGGGAGAAGTCTACACCTAGCGCGAAGCCAAGGCTCCTGCCGAGCGCAGTCTGTAGACTGGAGAGCTTTCTCACCTACGAGACGAATGAACAGCACACGACTGGCTCAAGTCTTCAGGTTTGGGATTGTCAGAACTGTCAGAGAAATGCCTAACGCTTCCACTGTGCACACCAGAAAGGCCAACACGCGGACAGATGCTGTTCACGAGGTGAGGAGCTGAAGCCCGGGCCTCAGGACAAGTGTCCTCCCATTTCTGGGCCCCTTCTCACACTCCCCAGGACATCGCCCCTTCCTACAACTAAACAATGAGCCAGCTAAGCTTCGCTGTGGCCTTAAGATGGCCTAAGCACAAACCTCAGATGAGGCCAGGAGCGAGGCTGGGGGCTGGTGCCTCGGGGACAATGAAAACATCAGCGACCCTCCGCCCTTCCTGCATCACCACCTCAAAGGCCTGCTTTATCTTCCTTCCTGCGTGTCAGGAGCCCAGCTGGGCGACCGCGCGCCTGCCCCGGACACTGACTGACCTGGACCTGGCTCCTGACCCGCTGCTCCTGACCGCCAGGGCTGAGGCAGGTGGTGGCAGACCCCTGTCCTCCGTTCTTACAGACGTGCAGACATTACGGTCGGTCAATCCTAAAGGCTGTGCTGTTTTGAGCTTTTAAAACAAAAACGTGGTCACATGTTCTATGTACTCAGACCCACCAGTGAAGAGGCAATTTCCTGCTGCTGGAGGGAAGGTGGCCCGAGAACCAGGAAGAAGCTGCATCTCGGCCACGGCGGATTCGGGACGCCTGGAGTTTATCTTATAGAACGTTTCGTGAGGGTAAAGGAATACGTGATATCATAACTACAGGAAAGGACCTACAAACCTGATCCACACAGAGTAATGCTTTGCTAATTTTAGCATTTTCAGACGTTCCCCTGAGCGCCAGGTGGGGACTGCTAGCTGACCTTCTCCACCTTCCTTGTTTCTGTCCACCTGCCTCCACACCGCGCCGGGAACTGTCCACCTCACGGCCACCCTGCCATCCCCGGGAGTGGCGTTCCTGCCACACGCTCACCTCCACGCTGCATCCCGAGCTGGTCCAGCTCCCTCGCCAGCACCCCCATCCCTCCTTACTGCACAAAGGCCTGCTTCTCCCCGTGCTGCCCGTCTCTGCAGAGCTGGCGCAAGCTCAGGGCCCCATTGATCTCACGAGAAGCGCTGGACTCTGCCGACTCAGCCCACACAAAGGCAGTGCAGAATCGGACTCCAGATTTCTCCGTTCCAGAAAATTTGCTTCACTCAGATCAAATGCCTCTGGAATGCTAAGTCAAATAAAGCCATTCAGTAATTGGGTCTAATTTGAGACTGATGGAGCAAGCGAATGGCTCCAATTGCTGTGTCTTTTATTAAAGCAGGGTATAATAGTATAATATTAATGAAATGCAAGATGATCAGTTAAAGATCTGATCAGAGCCTTTAGAAACACACATGTGTGCCCTTAGGTCAGTAGGAGTTGTGTGTGTGTGTGTGTGTGTGTGTGTGTGTGTGTGTGTCTGTGTGTGTTGGAGGCAGGGCATAAGTGGGGAAGATGGCAGGAAAGTTTACAGGCAGAATATTAAAAAGGGCAGAGAGGAATTAGGTAAGTTATTTCTTCTAATACATCCCTAGTCACCCCAATCTGGCTGAAAGTGCATCATCAAATATTTAAAAAGAAAATACTGAATCTTACATTCTGGCTTCATGAAATAAAGAGGATTAAAATAGCTGAGCAGACAAAAAAAAAGCAAGCAAGAAAAGGAACAGCTCCTAATTAGTTAATACAGAACATGCTGAATCCAATTACGAGCGTCCTGCAGTTCGGATTTGGTTCTTTCTGAACAGATGAGAACAAATATGTCTGTAAATCAATACTGCATACCCGAGCATCCGAGCCGCATCCAGCCGTCGTACAGGGTGGAAAAGGGGCGCCTGACAGACCCGCCGGGAAAGTGCTGACCTGACGTCCGAGGATGGTCGGTGGCATAATTTTCTCAAACCCCCAAGAGACTGATAAAGAAACCAGAGTAGTTCATTAGCATAAGACTGGCAAAAAAATGTATTGATTTTTAACTCCATAGAATATTCTGTTTTCATTACGATCAGCTAGGTTACATACATCGGTCCTCACCCTGGTTAACCGTGAGTCTACATTATAATGAGAACACACGTTGAAGACAACACGAGAATTCTTCCTGCTGTCAGCCATTGTCACGACCTTCTGGGAACCTTCCCTGTGAGCCCCAGCTTCGTATTTTTAGAAAGTAGTGGAGCATTTAATCCTCCATAATGAGACTTTCCCCAAAAGGACAAGCTCATTTATACGACTGTCAATTGAACCAGATCCTTCACCCATTGCACTCGGTGTTTCTTCATAATGTTTTAAACAACTTGGTAGGCATGAGACAAAATTAAGATAAAAATGTCAAAGCTGTCGTTAAATCTCAGAAGGCTGCTCTAAACTTAGAAAATGCAGTTATATGCAGAAAAGTCGGTGCAAAATATATACTTGGTCAACACTTTTGACAGTGTCAGGATTGTGAAGGATCCAACTAGGGGAGAGGAGATTGCTACAGAGAATGTGTCTGAGCTCAGCATGGTGCCCCTTAGATTGGGCAATGGAGGGCAGAATAACCACCCAGCTGGGGCACCTCGGTGTGGTGGGGTGCTTGGGAGGGAGCACCAAGAACTTTACCATTTCATTGTCCTTCCTACCTTCTTGTCCCTGTTCCTTTCAGATCAAGGGACAGTCTTGTACCATATTAAGAGGCAACTTTAAGCTTCTATAGACACACACACACTCACATACACAGACAGAAAGCAAATTATCACACCCAGAAAACATTTGGGTAGAAAGATGGTGAACAGTACAACACACGGCAAGACTCATATCTACCTCCTCTGGCCAAGATCGCGTCCCACGTGGCCAATGTCCCAGAGCCCTGCTGTGGGTTAGGGCACAGTGGCACCTTAAAGTGGGTCCCCAGGCCTGAAGGCACAGCCACATCAGTCGCCACATGGCCCCACAGCTGCGGTCAGACCCTGAGGCCTCACTTGCTCAGGACCATGCGGTCCTTCAGAACACAGTGGACAGAGGGCCTGCCGGCGGGCGAGCCCCCTCAGCAGGGCCGCTGCACCTGTCCCCTGCTGCCTGCCTGCCTCCTGCAGACACTGGCTTCACCTGCTCCCCCAAGCACCACATCATTATACCCTGGCTTCCCAGCACGGGTGTGGACCAGGCAAGCCGCTGGTCCCAGAGCAGATTTCCCTGGTCTCAGGAAGCCCTCTGAGCACCAAGGTTTCATGGCAGTGGGTTTGGAAAGAAAGCATCCTGTCTTCCTCTGAGAGAACTGAAATGCTCACCCACGGTGTAGAGGCCTGAGGGGTCCAGTGGTCCTGACAACAGTGAACTGAGCTGGAGGCACGTTTCTGAGCTTATTCACTTCAAACATCCCTTGGTACACCCGCTCACACCCCGGCTCCACCAGCATCCATGCCTGAGTCCCCGCTGCCACGCGAGGTTCGAAGGGATGTGTGTGTTCCAGCCAGGCTGAGTTGCCTACATCCCAGGGGACGCCTGCCGGCTGGAAGGGCCTCAGTCAGGAGCCAGGCCAAGCCCAAGGCTCTGAGGAGCCGACACCCGTCCACTCCAGCACAGCTGGGCTCTCCTGACCAGTCTTATTTAACTTCCATGCAGAGTACATCATGCGAAGTGTGGCGCTAGATGAGGTGCAAGCTGGTGTCAAGATGGCAAGGAGAAATATTAAGAACCTTATATACACAGATAACAGCACACTTATGGCAGGAAGTGAAGAAGAACTAAAAAGAGCCTTTTGATGAAAGTGAAAGAGGAGAGTGGAAAAGTTGGCTTAAAACTCAACATTCAGAAAACTAAGATCATGGTATCTGGTCCCATCACTTCATGGCAAATAGACGGGGAAACAGTGGAAACAGTGAGAGATTTTATTTTGGGGGGCTCCAAAATCACTGCATATGGTGACCGCAGCCATGAGATTAAAAGACATTTGCTCCTTGGAAGAAAAGTTATGACCAACCTAGACAACATATTAAAAAGCAGAGACATTACTATGCCAACAAAAGTCTGTCTGGTCAAAGCTTTGGTTTATCCAGTAGTCATATATGGATGTGAGATTTGGACTATAAAGAAAGCTGAGCACTGAAGAATTGATGCTTTTGAACTGTGGTGTTGGAGAAGACTCTTGAGAGTCCCTTGGACTGCAAGGAGATCCAACCAGTCCATCCTAAAGGAGATCAGCCCTGGATGTTCATTGGAAGGGATGATGCTGAAGGTGAAACTCCAATACTTTGGCCACCTGATGCCAAGAGCTGACTCATTTGAAAAGATCCTGATGCTGGGAAGATTGAGGGCAGAAAGGGAAGGGGATGACAGAAGATAGGATCATTGGATGGCATCATTGACTTGATGGACTTGAGTTTGGGCAAGCTCCACAAGTTGGTGATGGGCAGGGAGGCCTGGCATGCTGCAGTCCATGGGGTCGCAAAGAGTCAGACATGACTGAGCAACTGAACTGAACTGACCAGTCAGTGCCCAGCCTTGCTGGCTGGAAAGTGTCTCCAGGACCATCCCTAGGAATGTGGGGTCCTATGTCCAGCCAGTCCTGCTCAGTGATGGCCAAAAAGCATTCTCGGGGGCCTGGCTCTCATTTTTCCATCATGGGAGCAGCTTCTGCCATGTCTGTCCTGCATCTGTCTGCCCCACTCCTGAATTACCACTAATCACTGGACTATGGGAGAAGGCAATGGCAGCCCACTCCAGTGCTCTTGCCTGGAGAATCCCATGGACGGAGGAGCCTGGTGGGCTGCAGTCCATGGGGTCTCCAAGAGTCGGACACGACTGAGTGACTTCACTTTCACTTTTCACTTTCATGCATTGGAGAAGGAAATGGCAACCCACTCCATTGTTCTTGCCTGGAGAATCCCAGGGACGGGGGAGCCTGGTGGGCTGCTGTCTATGGGGTCTCACAGAGTCAGACTCGGCTGACGTGACTTAGCAGCAGCAGCAGCAGCACT